GTGTATGGAAAAAGGTAAGGAAAAGATTTTTCAAACTATTTTCCACAATCAAGAGTGTAGGATTCTTATACTTGAAATTCTCATTGATATCGATCCTACCACAACCCCAGTGATTCAACCAATATAGCTGTAGAAGAAACAAATCAATACCACTCAAGTCCATATCAGCCTTTAATGTGAAGCACTGGAGTAAAATGCAGGTTAATGCCCTAAAGTTAACAAGAAATTTGTCTAAAGTCGAAGCCCAGGTGTTTTATGCCTCACTCTGTCGCCTACCTCTGGTAGCACCTATATTTCACTTCTAACGATCAATGTGGTGGTAAATTACCGCACCTACCGATAAGAAATTGAGCACCAAACCAATACCCGCATAGGCCAACCTAAAGTTCCGTCCCTCTTTGGTCGATTACTCGGGATGAGACTGACCTTTGAGGATAAAGGGATTGAACTGTGCATCGGCTGATTGCCGCAAGGCAGTGTATAGGCCACATACGCATCAAAAATACCACTACGATCTTGAGCGAAAGCCAAGTCCGGGGCGCGTCAGAGAAACGGGGTCGATTCACGTCAAAAGACAGTCGTTCATCCTTCGAAATTGTCAACTCCACGAGTTTGTTCACACGCTATCGTTTGCCCCGCTGTAAATTACCTGTCAAATGTATGTCGGTGCGTGTGCATCGGTGTGTGCGATTGGAGTGTGTCAATGTGTATGTTGATGGTGTATCAGTCCGTGTGTCAGTGTGTTGCTGTGTATTTTGGTGCGTCGGCATCGGTGTGTGTGTCGGTGTGTGTTTCACCATGTGTTTCGGAGTGTGCGTGTGGAAGTGTTTGTGTGTCGCTGGGTGTGTCGTTGTGTGTGTTGCCCCTTCCTTTCTATACATTAATGATGTGACTCTTTGACTATGCCGTTACTCGACAAATATTTCCACAAACTCATTATATGAGCAATGCTTTCGAACTCTGCAATTAGGCAAAGCTCCTTCCACCGTCAACGGGATATAATCTAAATACAGGCTTATGGCCGCTTCTTCCGCTAGTTCGTCGCCTGAGTCCATCAAATAGGTCATGGTTGAAATATCTAACATAGTAAGAGATAATTCATCCTGAAAAGCAACGCAACCTCTTGAAGCGACCCTTCACAACATAACTTTTCAAACAGAGTGTCGTCTCTGAGTTGCATAGCCCTTCTTTTTTGGTTCTTTCGGCAAAAATTTGGGCAAGAAATTGAAAACTCTTGCTATCTTAAATCAGAGCAGTTGGAAGCGATGCAGGCGACAGATCAGCTTCAACACTGAAAGGAGGAGAGCTTGTCGGTAGTCAGTAAATAAAGAGAAATACTGAAGATCAAAAGTACAGGGAAAATGTCCGAAGAATAAGCTAAGCTCCATGAGCAGGAACAAAGTCCTGTAAAGACACAGGAGGAAAACTTTGTAACCTCTCGAATCCCAACAGGGATCCCGCTGTCTGCTCACGATAACAGGCGTTATTCACAGTCGCAATGTTCGTAGGCCGCCTTGCATTACCGGTTTGACCCGACGGTAGAACCGCAGCACTTCCGGGCGGAAGAACTAGGCATGTATATGAATACGGCCGCCAAACAGGGCCCAACACTATGCTTTCCTCATAGGTGAAGTTCATTGAATAGGATAGGGTTCAGCTGAGCGGAGGTAAACTTCTGCTGCATGAGCACTATATGTAGAAGAACTGTTGCTGATGGCGAAAGAAGTTAATGCAAGGCTAGAGTTGGAAGAGGAGACCGAAAAATGTAGCATACCTTGGTGAAGTTTGATACTATGACCACGCACTCGCCCATCTGACGAAAACATGCCATCATTTCAATAAGAACACTCAGCTTCCCTAAACGAGATATTCAAAAATTTTCTGCTCTTTATATTTCATTTGCGATTCCGTTCACTTGAGAGAAAGCCCAACAATTATCTCACCGGAATCGCTCAAGCGCACCGGACGGCTGCTGTAGTCCTGGGGAAATACAGATAATAATGATGAATACTCGTAGCATTTATTCTGGAACTTAATTTTAGGTCAGGGTTGCACATGAAAACAAAAACATACTATGCACCTTATTTACCGATTCAGAAAGCTGTTTGAAGAGAATCGCAGGATGATTCGCTGCCTTTCTCATCATATTGATAAGAACCAAAGGTTCTCCACTGATATGCTCACAGATTTCATGAAGAAGTTTCTTTTGCATATCGGAAGGAGCACAGAAAAGTACATAATCATCTAAAAGGGGCAAAGCGATATCAAATTGATAATTTCTTCAGCCTCGAAAGTTTTGCCTACTTCTAACTGGCAGGTGAACACTATTAATTTCGCTCGTCCGTCTCAACAGGCAATCAGAAATGATCATATTGAGGCTTCCATCCTGGAAAATGTAGCCGATGAGTTGCTGGGGATAGTCATGAGAAAAAATAGTCCAAACCTCCCTATGACACTGCGATTTGAAGTCGGTAAATGTTCCGAAACAATTAGGGCGCACAAAGTCAAGAAGGGAAAAAAATTCTTCAATATCGTTCTGAAGTGGAGTCCCAGTGAGAAGTAGACGACGGGGAACACCCAAAGAATCAAGCTTAAATAGTCATGTTGAAAAGAAGGTAATGGGAAAAATATTCAGAAACTAATTTCAATCGCTACTAACGCATTGATATGAGATAACTTATTGAACTATGTGAGGAGTGTAATGCATGTCTTATAGCAATTTTGAGCGGAATTCCATGGAATCATGTAGTTCTGCACTCATTCACGGGCTCACAGTACACTTTGCAAAAAATATACATGCAAAGCTGCGTCACAGTGTTGTGTCTTAACACCATTGTAGACGAATGCACTCATTATTAAAGTCCGGAACATAACCTAGCCCTAGATAGGGTCGCGAAGCGCTGTTCGAAATAGCATTCATCGTTGGTCCGTTCTTATTCATCACAGGTATGTAGCCATACGGTTTTTCATTCCGTTTACCTCAGTAAGTTCCGGTTGAAGCACTTTCCACAGTTGCTTCCAAAGTTGACCAGCTTGCAATCCTTTGTTATCAAACATTTCAAGTTCGAACAATTGATTAGGATTGCGCATTCAGAGGTGTAATCGCAAGTATACTGGATCTGTTGGTGACTTGACTCGTAAAATACCCTTTATACAAACCTTTTCATAGTATAGGGGGGAATGGAATAGGAGGACTGTAGTAAAAGACGACGACCATTTTTGCATAATCTCCGCTTCACGGACGACACCGTGCTTACAAGACCTGAAAGCGAACGGTACGAACGAATGCGGTCCCAATCCGACAGCATTGCAAGACAATTTTAGCGAAAATGATGTTTATAAAAACGGGTCGCTGCTTGATGCTACCTTCATGCCAAATTAAAGGAACATCTCGAAAAGCTCCGCTTACGTGGATCTAAATCGAGAACTCAGCAAGCTAAACGACCTAGTTCCGCAGTTGAGCATAAGAGTATGCGCAGCATGGGAGCATTCAAGAACATCGATGGAGTAATCCGCGCTCACGTTTTCGACACTACAGTCCTTCCTGCTTCATCGCACGCCTCGTAGAGTTGCACACTGCGAAAGCAAGATAACCATGCAGTTGGCGCAGTGGAAAGGTGTTTATATTTTTCGATACCAGTGTGCAGAGGACAATCCAGGGGTGCAGTTGCTTCATGGAGTGAAAATGTGTAGATATTCCGCAGTTGGACTAGATTGATCACTCACTGGATTCCTCGAAAAGTCAAACATATCAAGGACGGCCGTCAACGCGCCGGTAAACTTCTTTACGAGAAGTTAGAAAGAAAGGAATGGTATGTCTTGTGGATGTCTGTCCATTTCACTACAATGGTTCGCGACAGGGACGAATGGAGACGGCTCAAGATAATTAATGATCAGAGAGACGACAGGCGATACAGGTGAATGTTCGTACCTGCTTAACAGTCACCCAAAAAGCGTTTCAGGCATCTATCGTGAAAGTTTCACGTAGTTCATGCGAACCACAATGTTTATGATAAAGCAAAATGACTGAGAGCCTGAGAACGTGGATGTTTGTGTGAATGTCTCATCGAATTACGATTTTCAAGGCACAGTCTACTTGCAAGCTTACCACTGAAAAGTCCCAGAAAACTTGACAAAGCTGGCGAATTATAAACAAAACATGCTTTTTACGAATGTTTTGCTATACATGACAGGTAGCACCTCGGTTGAACCATACCTACTGCCCTAATGCTCGCGAAGATGAGATCAACGTTTTTCAGAAAATCGGAAGTTTGCTATATAAGGGCAACAAACGAGTTTTCCACTCGAGAACCATCGTTTTCTCATCGCTCAGCCATGAATGATTCGATAGGCTTTTCGAATATGAAGTTGCAAGTTTATAGACCGACTACTTTTATCGAATGCGTATCAAAATTTGAGAATAATTTTCACTTTACCTGTCCAAATGAAAAATGTCAACAACTAGACACTATGAAAAATCCTCATTCAAACTGAAAAAGATCTCTACACTGGCAAGATTGCTTATTTCTCTGCGATGGCACAGTCCTTGCGAAAGCTCGTGTAGGAGAAACTCGCACAACGGGCTGACAGACTGGCCGCATCTCTAACCCTCGCGTAACTTCATTCAAAAATTCTACACTTGTGCTCTATACATGAGCTCGTTGGTTTCGCAAAAGCGACGTCTATTCTTCGAAGATAAGAGCACGAGAGCGCAAATGTTTGCCAGAATGCGTTAGTATTAAGGATCTTCACTTTAAAACACATAATGGAGAAGAACTCACGGCCTGTCTGAGCTTCCCATTTACATTCTTCAAGCGATGACCCTCGTCACAGACAAGAATATCAAAATGTATGGCCGCCAGTTTTTCCCTATACCTTAACGAGGACGTGAATGGAATTTTTCCTTGAAATATAACATACAGAATGTAATATTTAAAATCTTGTGAGAGTTTGTACCGCAAAGCCATTTCGTAGCTAATTATGAGGTATGGATATGTAGAGACGGAGCAAACATATGTGGTAATGTCTGAGGCGCGCCTTACAGTCATAACCTGCAAAAGATAGAACCCTACAAGAAGCAGGCTAATACAGTAAACACATTCAGTAAATATCCTAACGAAGGTTTCTTCGAAGATTCAAATCAATCACTCTTATCAAAACTTCGACAGATGGTATCTCACAGGAGCTCTGCCCATTTGAAACCACTTGCGAAATTCACTCCTCCAATTATCGACAAGAGAAGATGGAACCACCAGAAGACATTTTCTAGCAGCACTTCCCGTTGTACTCTGTAAATAAGCTAGTGTTTGACGTTGTTGCAAATTTGATTTTGATCAGTTAAAGCAACAGATGTTCATTTCTTGAATCAAAACTTTACTCCTAGCAACATGTTAGAATGACAATGTAAATCGGTGAATCATTCGCCTTTTTTCTACGAATATTAAGGAAGGCATTGAAAGAAAATTGAACGAGACTCATAGAAAACAATCCATATGAAAAGTTGTCATTGGCAAAACCGATTTTCGAAACCTCCCCTATGCTCTATAATATCTCGGCTTGTGAATGATTTTCAATCTAAGGAGGCTCATCGCTTGCACCTGCTAGAGACGTCTCTTGCACGTAGCTATTGCACGGAACTGCCCCGGCGCTGCGCGAGTGTGGGGGGCGAGAATTTTGCATTGTATGGAATTTTTCCTTCGTAGCCTAGAAATTATTTGATGTTGATTTTATCTCGTATACGACCTTTTGATACTTGTGTGACATCGTTTCTTCCAAACCATGCAATATCGCTTCAATTTTTTTCATGTCACTACACGGTGGACCAGAATTACGATTACAGCGCGCGCTGAAGCTCATAGAAGATTTTTTCTGAGTTTGTGACAATTCGTTCGCTTTCTTTCATTTCACAGGGTAGATTACACTATTACCTTCCAAATGAAACTAAACTTTTGGTAGATTTTGAAAGTAATGTAAGCGTCGCTACCCCGTGAATCAATCGTCGCTTTGCATTTACAAGCACTTTTAGCACGGTGCATCTACAGACGAATTAGGGTAGCAAGGCAGGTGGTACATACAACCATAAGACACTTTCGAAAGTTGGGAACAGTTGCAGCCTGCGGTTATGTTTAGGGGGAGTGTTCAGGAAGCAGGGCGAAGGTGTGCGTAGCAGCAAAGTTCATTCTGAGCCCAAAATGGCTGAATGAATGGATATCTCATGAAGTTTTCTGCGAAACCGTAGAGCTTCATCTTCACAACGGGGCCTTTACACGATCAGAAAGTAATTTCCCCAGTGAGCAGGCCAAAAAGTAGAGAGAAGTTGACACATAAAAGCTGCTCCGCCGTATCCGACAAAATCATCATACTTAATTCTTGTTCACCAACGGAGAGATANNNACGGTGAAAATGGTGCTCAATAACCAGGGCGACAAAGTTTGTATAAAGCTGAAAGGAATGGAGCGATACAGCGCTAGGTCCACTGACTTTTTGCGATGGCCTCTGCGAGCAGCACCGACGAGACGAAAACACCGATTATTTTTGTAAATTCAGGAGTGAAAGTTGATTTGGAGTTCTGTTCGATTCCGCCGTGTGCTATAGGACATTTTAGCGATTTAAACCAGATATATTGTGAAGATGAAGCTCCTGACGGCAGACCAGAAATCAGTGTAGTCAGCCTTTGAGATGAAAGCATCCGTCAGACCAAACAAGAAGTGAAATAATCTCGAAAATGCCCTACAAAAATCCGGGATCAACTCAATGATCATAGCTGCGTGCCACCATCAATGCCGTCCACCATCTTCTCTGGGGTTGAGTGAAAGCAGAAAGCAACCGATGTCCCAGTTTCAATGTACTATGTTGATAAGATAATAGTGATAAACACTTTCCTGAAATTGGCTTGCTTTATTGCTTTCTATTCGTTTTCGGGGATGTGATGCCTGTGTAATCATAATTTTTGCCTACCCTGTATATTCCCAGTCGGGCGAATGCGGTGTAGTAGCGGGTGCGCACCATCACACACGGACGGTCCGGAGATGGAGCTCCGTTCGGGCCAACCAAACCTTCCATCCCGCCGGGGTTGGTTAATTGGTACCAGGCTCGTTTGCGCGGATGAAAGCTATGACTTGTACAATGGATGCTCACCGTGAATCACTGCATAGACCATCTACGTATTCTACACGCCACTATGTGTGTAATCGAGTGCGGGGCGCATCCCAAAGGCAGAATCGACCAACTCCAAGGACTTGATTCTGTAAATCCTCTGCATGAAATTCGGAACGATATGCGCATTCTGCAATCTCTGGCCCCAAGAGACCGCAAAAAAGTGGATGAAGTAATGCAGCTGCTCTCTGCAACCACCCACTCTTTCGCCATTATGCCCTGCCTTTTCATCGATGGCCCAAAGGTCAGAAGTCCTCCGTGGTTTCAAAGTGTGTACGATCGTGCGTGGCGGGTATGGACACTTACCTCCACCAAGGAGGTGAAGGTAATGAGCCGCTTGTACCAGGGAGTTATCGAAGACAATCATAGCTCATTCCTTGGCCGTTCGAGAATATGATCATCACCTCATCACAATAGCTCCCAATGTAAACTTTTGCTCATTCACTGGGACTTTTCTTACTATCACCTGCCTGCTTTCAGTTCTGTGCTTTTAGATTTGGGAACTTTATCTCTCATTCATAACAGATCGCCTGCTACTTGAGCACTCACCACGATCATTCTGACGCGCCTACACAATTATGTTTCCACCTACATGCAAAAAATTGAAGCGGTATTGCATGGTTTGGGTAAGAACTGGTCACCGACACTATCAAACGTTCGTAGAACGCGATAAAATCAACATCAAATAAATTTCTAAGCTTCAATACGATGCAAAGTTCTCGTCCCCCACAAAACTCGAAACTAGTCTCTCGATTATGAAGCGTCACCCTTACCACTGCTCGAATCTGCCGCTGGTAAACATGTCACATCCATATAATTCAATTCCTCTTATGTTAGCCCTCCCTGAAATCACCTCACAACTCCGTTCAGAGAATCGCTTAGCAAATTTGAAAAGCAGTTTTGAGATCAGCATACGAAAATACGTCGAGTAGTATAGGTCTCATTTCAAACGGCCACTTCGACCTGGAATCCTTCCCTGGTTAGCATGATACTCAAAACGATGACATGAAGAAAGCCATCCAGGTAGCCCTCTTGCTGTTAAAATGAGGGAAACATGTCTTTGTTGATAATAGTGTCCTAAACGCGAACAATACAATGTTTTCCAACCTCGCTTTCTCCTCAACANACCCCTTTGTAGATGTCAAAGGTATCTGTTGTGTGTAGTGGTGGTTATGATGATAACCACTAGAGTGGTCTTATCCTTATGTTGTTGAAGCTATATAAATGAGAGTTCGGTATGGTGGTAATTCATTCTTGCCCAGTCTACTTCGTCTCCAGCTGTATCGGCAGTGCTTTCCAATAAAACGTCGTATCCACTATCTGATCTGCTACAAAGCTATCAAGACAATAGTGGTACACAACAGTATCAATAGGTTGATGAGAATAGAGTTATTTGAGCAATCCTCGCTAGGAAAGTGCTAGATCAGGAGAATCGTTACCACTATTATACACAAACTACAATATCATCTTTCGTTTGCAGTGTCTTTACTGCTTCCTGCCTACCACGAAATTGAGGTCTAGACGAAGAAGCGTCTGGAGAGCTGGGGTCACGTTCGAATTTGGTTCGGCACAGGTCAAGAAGACAGGAGCACTTGTAGACTCAGCAAAGTCCACTCACAGGAAGAGGGTGCATCATCGGAGCGAGAGGTACGAAGCGTAAAATTTTCTGACTTTGTTTCGGAACAGCTCATTCACGGAGAAAGCAGGCGAAGGTAGGAAGTGTGTTGACAAATGGATTGAAGAAACCTCCTGGGGTGAGCGGAGCGTGCACACAGCGATTGGCACTTGCTGCATAAATTCATGGCTGCAATCCTCAAAAGCATAATTTGAAGAAATTGTAGAATCAAGCAAGCCGTGAAGTGTGCTTAGTCTTGAATTGCGATGGTTTTGATGTACTCTTTTTGAGCTGAAAAGCCATAGAGTTTTGGGGAAAGGTGCAACGGCGGCCAAGAAAGCTAAAAATCGTGAAACATAAAGCTTCTCAAAAGTTGTGAAGGTAAGGGCTGCACGAGATTACCATAACGGAAATGGCACGGAAGGAGTATCCGCACGATATTCTAGTTGCAGTTGCGCGAAGAGCTGGCTACATTCAGTCAAAAATGAACGAGGTTGCCCTCCTCTGCCGCCAAGAGCTGTTTGAAGTTCCCATATGGACGACCCTTTAAACGATGCAATCTCATGCCGTCAAATCTTGATGTCTGAGGGAGGTGTAACAGCGAATAGAATCACTGAATGCTTAACCGCCTCATATGGCAAAGCTTAACGCCACAGATTCATTCTGAAGCGATATAACGGAAACTATTTTTTCGTAATAGCTTTTAACATGTCTGAGCTGTCTAATGAGTGGGGCCTGCTCTTAATTGGTAAGTCTTCCACAACACTGAAAAAGGTCTATAAGCAGTTGCGGGCAGTATTCATCGAGCTTTTCTTTCAGCGAACTGTACATTTGAAAGCATACTTTAGAAAACAGCAGATAAAAAATAGATGATGTCCGACGGGCCAAATTCACTTCAAACCCTTCGATCTTTCGATGGAATTGCTGAATACCTCACTGACTTCTGCCTCTGCCATGAAATCCTTTACTTTCAGTTAGCTGAAGTAACTGAACAGCCAATAATCTGTGGGACCAAATATGGGCTATAAGCAGGTCTGGAGATTAGTTCAAAAATCCTTAGCTTTTCAACTCGTCCGCTGTGGGTGAAGTTGTTTAATTAGAAGGCCACAGGACACGTTAACACTGAACATGATCGATATCAGCCTCTATGCTCAGAAGTTCACAAACATAAGGGTGTATGTTTATGGGTTGCCTCTAGAGAGGAGCTTTCTATCCGTTTCACATTTGAAGCACCAAGCTTCGAAGTGTAGATTGAACTTTGCAATCGGATCGGATACCTTATCCTGATTTCCTTTCGAATGCACGGATTCTCGTACATGACCCCTTCCCTATTTACAATGTTAGGTTCATTGAGAGGATATACTTGTTGCATAGAAGTGGAAAAGACATGTGGTCATCAATCCCTCGTTCGGAAGTTTAAAGTTCATCAGGCATTCATGGCCCGTGTTGGCGAATCCTGTCAGACTTCTCCAGTCTGCGCAACAGTGGTTGAGTCGTCAAATCTCTTGTGCTACCTGT